CGGTTGGGTTCCAGGCAGCGAAACCCCACGGAGCAATTTGTAAGCTGGGAGGCTGAGCGAGGAGGGCGACGGGTTACTTTGAAAAGGATTTAAAACATCGACTCACCCTTCGGGGCGGGAGGCTTATCCCATAAAAAAGCGTTCGTGCGGGAGTCCTAGATTGAAACGGGCTTATCCGACAAAGTCCGCCGGGAGAGGAGAGTCTCTCGTGGACCGTGCAAATCCAGGTTGATGTCCGTGGCCAACTTTTCTCTGAAAAGTTATATTTGCTGGAGCATCCCGGGATTATAAGAGAAACCAAGGGGCGGGGTGGGGGGGAGAGGAGGAGACAATTAGCATCTGAATCTCAAGGAAAACTTACGTTGTTCCCATCAGTTTGTGGAGAGATCCAAACTTTTGGCCCCTTCCGAGTAATTTTCATCCCTCCAGGACCAACCTTGTCAGCGTAAAATCCAGCAGGGCAGGAACCCGAGTCGGGGGGGAAGCATCGAAGCGGCCCCAAAATATCCAGAAAGGGACGCAGAAATCACGGGGCTCCCGCAGGCTGCAGCGGCGAAGGGGGGAACAGTTGGGTTTTTAAAGCAAGAAAGGGGGAAAACGGTTCAGAGTTCGCTGCTTCCCCGAAGTTTCCGCATCATCTTAAGGCAGCGGGTTTTGAACGCTCCGGAGCAGGAGGGGAAGAAAGTTCAAATCCGAAAGTCCGTCCCTCCTGGCGAGTGTCGGGCTTGTTTATAAGTCAGCCCCACTTCTCCTCCTCCGCCTCCTCTCTCTGGGTTTCAGCCTCTCTGGCTCCTGTCGGCGCAGGAGGAAAAAAAAATTATATATATATTTCAAGCATCTTGAGCAGAGAGGATTGTGTTCCGCAAGGCAAGAAGGAGCGAGTTTGGGAGAAGGGAGGAGGAAGGAAAAAGTGAAAAGTTTCACACCCCCGGATACCGTGCAACTCGGGTTGCAGAGGCGAGGAAGGTCACGGGCAAGAATAGGGCAACGGTGCCCCCTTGGGGGGACGCAGTCTACCTTAGAGATGCTCGGGGCGAGGTTGAGCCACGTGGGGGGCTGTGTTTGGGATCAGGGGGCGGCTCAGAAGGGAAATAATGAGGTGACTGCGCCTGACCCGTTCTTAGGGGGCGTTAGCCTGAGACCTCCATGTTCAGAGGCAGTCTACCTTTTGGTTCCACGCCCTGGTGGTGGGTGTTTCACAGATGTTTAGCCGGGCTCTGTGCTTGGCACGGCCACTTGGAGTTGGAAGGTTTGCGTCCGGAAACCTGGAGAACTACTGGGGGTGCCCACAGCGCCAGAGGTATAAACCGGACCTGGCCGGTGCCAGTTTAAAATCTCCTCTTGGCCACCTGGCGTGTGTTTGGCCTGCCTATTTGAGGAAATTGACTCTCCTTCTTAGAGTTAAGTCAAACCTCCAGATAGAGAGGCAGTCTATCTGGCTGTGCCCATCGTAAGGGGTTGCTTGCTTCCTTCCCCGTGCCCTGCTCTTGGGGGTGCCCAGGGGTGCGAGGGGGAACCTGGCTGCGAGATGGGCCGAGGGCAGGCTGAGGAGGGCGTTGGGGTGGACGCGGTCGGGAGGGCGCCGGGAAGGCGGGGAGGCCTGTTCTGGCTCAGAATCCGCTGGTGCCATGTGCCTGGCAGCTCCCCTCTCAGCTCCTGGAACAGGAACCGGGGCGAGTGCCAGAGTGGGAACGTGTCGAGACATGGCAAGCGACCCGCGTGGGCGCGAGAGTTGAAAGGATGGCTCGACGCGAAGGCTCTTTTGGAAGGAAGACGAGGGGCCCTTTCGTGCCAGTGTGCTTCGAGCCCACCCCTGGGCGGCGGGGAGAGGGGCGGGCAGCGGCCTCCCCAGGCCCCAGCAAGGCCCGCGGGCCAGGGCACACACCATGGCGTCTGCCGTGCCCCCTCCCTCGGACGGCATCGGGCTCCCTGCGCCCTCGGGCACCCGGCGGGGGGGTCAGGCTCCAGGAACCGCGTCCCTTCCGCACCCCCTCCCCTTCCTGCCCCCTTGCGGAAACCCGGGTTAGCTAAAGATGCCTGGCTGGCATGTGTGAACTATGGCAGGGCTGCGGGGGAACATCTGGGCCCGGTGGCTTGGAATGCGC